TACCGTTACGAACTAGAGACATATACATCGCCAGGCAATTTACTCGCGCAGCGGAATAATCCCGGGGAGCGCGCGTCTTCGTATCGGGATAACCCGCGGTGCATTTTCTCGAGCGACATTAAACTCCTCCGGCGATTCCAATCTGGAGGCCGCGCGCGGAACGAATTTTTCATCGTCGTCGCGCAAAAAGTCGTCGTCGCTCACACGAGGCGCGCTCGCGGGAGACTCTATTTGCAAGCCCGCTCTCTCGGTCGCGGAGCTCCCTTTATCCGCGCATCTTCGAGAGGCTGAGAACGCGCGAGAGGCAACGCTCGCTCTCATTATTCTCGCGAGATAAAGTCGGACGACGCGCGCGGCCCGGCGCGCGTTGTGCCTGCCCTCTCTGATTACACGTCTTCGCCATTCACACGTCGCGATGCGATCGAGCCGCGAATTACAAAGAATGATTGGCGAGTCCCGCGGTGTTATTCGCGCACTCGAGCGACCCTCTCTACTGGCGCCACATTATTGCGCGCGGGCTATTGATGCGCGAGAGAGAGAGAGAGAGGAGAGAGAGAGAGCATCGCGATGCTCTCCGCGAGCGGGCTGGGCGAGGCGAGAGGCCCTGAAATAAAATCGGCTAATCAAATATCGCGGGATCAAAGGCGAGTAATCAGAACGCAAGCGAGACCAGCTCTGACAGGCATGCGATATGCGGCCGCCGCGAGTCCGCTGAAAGGATAATTACTCACTAAGAATGACCGCGCGCCGTCGCGCCGCTTGCGAAAGCTCCCCCCCGGCGGAATGAACGCGCGCGCGCGCGCGCGCGAGTTGCGACCCGCGGCGATTTAGATTTGAGACGCGAGTCGCGCGACGAGAGGTCGCTGAGCCCCGAGAGAGCCGGCTGAATTGGCGAATATGGTAGCCCGAAGAGAGAACTGCTAATGGCGAGCCTCGGCGCGAACAGTCGAGAGAGAGAGAGAGAGAGAGAGAATCTTTCTCCTCGCGCAGCCGGTTTTCTATGTCGACGATGCAGCCACGTCTGCAACTCGCGCACATGCCGCAGATAGGTATCCCGATAACCCGTTATCGCGATCCGCGATACACAATGTGCACGCCGAGCGCCACAAGACACTCTCCCCGCCCGACGGCACCGAGTAGTAATCGAGCGATCGGACGCGCTCGTAAATTACGCGCGCGTGATCGGCGGATAGAAGCAGCGAGCGCGAGCTCGAGCGCGAGCGGCCTCCCCGCGACCGGCATAATTATTAATTAATAGCCGCGACTGCGTGATCCGCGTGCGAACGAGCGCGGCCGTCCGTTTCGGGAGCCGCGGCTCCTCGGGAATCGCAGGGGCTCTAAATCGCCGGGCAACGAGTCGAGAAAGTTATAAATGTCGAGTGGGTCGAGTCAAGAACGCCGAGTTATGAATTGATAATCGAGACTCGAATGTCGGCGGACTCGACAGACTCGGCGGTTACACAACTCGAGAAATCTCTCGCCGATCGCCGGCCGAGCGTGCATCGACGACCAGAGATAGAGAGAGAGAGAGAGAGAGAGAGAGAGAGAGAGAGAGAGATAAATTGATAAATGCGTTTATCACTTTGGAATTAATCCTCCAAAAAGCGCTGCGGCGAGAGAAAAAATTGCAGACTACCGGGCAGAAAAAGAAAGTTGCAAAAGAAAAGAACAAGGAGAGAAAAAAAAGAGAATATTTGCGCGCGCACGCGGACGGACAGCTTATTGCGCGGTAAAAAAACTGACGCGAGAGATCGCGGAGAACCGAAACGCGTTATCACAGCTCGCGCTTAAGAGCGGGACTCGAGACTCGCGCGCGTTATCGGCTCGCGTGCAAGACCGCGGAAAAGCCGCGCGCATGCGAGCCTCGCTCGTCGTTACATCGCGGGGCGGGGGGAGGGGGGCCGTTACACACACGCGCATTTTTCACGCTACTTCGGTGCTCGGCGATCCGCTTTGACTTTCATGAGCCGGCAACCGGCAGCCTAATTGCCTGCGTCAATCACAGTCTAAAAAATCTACGAGGAAACGTACGTGAGGGGCGCAGCCGCAACAAAAAGCGCAAGTCAGTGCGCGTATCTTCGGGCGGGAATCTCACGGTTAATCTATTTGCGGGGATTCATTCGCGCGGGCTGATTCATTCCGCGGCATTCGTCAGTCGCTCCGCAAGAACTCGTTATCGACGATTCAATTGATCCCCCCCCCCGCCGCTCTCTCTCTCTCTCTCTCTCTCTCTCTCTGTCTCCCTTTTTTTTCTTCAATGTCGTCCACGAACGAGCGAGCGAACGAGCGGGTTGAATGCGTCGTCGGGCGCGGCCGATCGCGAATGTATTCGCCACGGCGAATTACAACATCGATTGTCCGCGCGGTCCTCCGTGTGGAGAGGACGCACAGCTTATGGCGAATGGAGGATCCCAAGCCGAGACGTTCGCCTCGCGTCGAGCGGCGAGAGCCGATGCGGCGTTTTGAAACACGAGGAGAAAAAGGCGGCGGCGGCGGCGGCGCGCGCGCGCGCGCGCGACCCACTTTTCCGCGGAGCGGAGTGCGCGCGCCGGTTATTAGGGGCCGTTACGAGGGTCGAAGCCCTAAGTTGAAGGAGCGGACATGAGGGTGGAAAGCGGCAAACGTGTCCTGCCTACCCTTTTCGCCGGCTCGTTAATTTCCTCCCTCGCTCGTGTCGAGATGTGCGCGGAAGTATAAACGGCCGCGATTTTCGGGAAATCGTCCTACACGACGTAGATACGAATCGGCCGACCGTCGCCGCCCCTTCCGTACCTCCCCCCCCCAGCTACCCGCGCAACCGACGGGCTTCGCTCGCTTTGGAGAATCCCTCGACATCGCGAATATAATTTACGAGCGGCTACGTGTATCGCAAGCTCGCCCGGCCCGCTTCCTCCCCCCCCCTTTCCCTCTCCCGGGACCGCGCGCGCGTTTTTTTTTTTACTTTAATCCCCCGTCGCAGCGAGATCGGCGATCGATAACCGATATATTACCCCGCGCGCGACGCGAGGAATATCGAAGCCGGGGAACGATCAAGCGGGCTCGGCTTGTGATTAGAATCGCAATGCGCGCTGCAAGAGGCGAAATTAGATCTCGAGTCGGCTTGCGAGGAGGCCGCCGCGCCGCCGAGCTGTGTGCAGGTCGTTTTTCCTTTTTCCTTGCTATTTTTTTTTTTTTTTTTTTCCCCCCACGAAGCCGGGAATTTCTCAGCGGAGCGGCTTCCGAAAGTTCGCGAGGGAATTTCGCGGCGAGAGAGAGAGAGAGAGAGAGAGAGAGAGAGAGAGAGGGGGGGGAGGAAGAAAGACGACGACGCAGGTGAAGAGACACGTCATAAAACTGTACAGAGTGTTTCGCGTAAGAGCGGCAGGAAGAAAGTTCCGCAAATCACCGCCGCCGCCGCCGCCGCGACACGTGAGAAACTTCGAAACATCTTTATTAGCACACACCACCCCGAACTTCCTCCGTCGTCGCGTATACATCCACTTCTCCACGGGGATCTCTTTTTTCCCTCCGGTTTTTTTCACGCACGCCGATCGGCGCAATCGCCGATGATCGCGAAGCGCGCGGCTGCTTGTGGCGTTTCCGCTTCGATGTGCAGCCCCCATTTTGATCTCCGTCGCGCGAGGATCGTCGTGATGTTTTTTTCGTGGCGGATTAAAGCCGCTTGTTTAAGAGTAAACAATGTGGACGCCCGGTGTCTGCGCGCCGGTGTCTGCGCGCGCGCGCGCGCAAACTCGAGAAGCGGAAAGCAAAATATTTGGTGAAATAATCAGCGCGTCGCCGAAAATCGCGGCGGTGCCGCATGATTAAATTAAAAAGCGTCTCTCGAGAGTCTGGAATGAACTCCGCCAGACGTTTGCAATGTCACCGGCGTGTTCGTCGGGCTGCATCTCTCCGACGGCCCCACTTTTTATTATTTTATCGGCATATGCGAGCACTCGTGCGGTTTGTTTTCCGCAACGCAACTACGTCGCGATATTGTGTCGCAACGTTGTGAAATCGACGCGAGCTTTAATTACTACAGCGCGGTTCGGCTACGTTTCCCGTAGCGGCGACACGCTTCATTGTTTCGACATTTCACGAGGTTATCAAATAATAAACAAATGAAACGGCAATTTAAAAGAGCGAGACCGACCATTCAGCGCGCCGGTCCGCGCGCGGATATAAATTTTGGAAATTCCCATCGGGCGCGGGCGGGCGGGGGGGGAAGGGGTGCTCCTCGTTTAAAACTTGTTTCGTAGTGGTTACGCGATTAGCGGAATGTCACTGTCGTAATTAAAGAGAGAGAGAGCGCAGTTTGACGAGCGGCACGAAAATATCACACGGGTGTTTCCGATTATTCCGCTCGGGTGCATGTTTAATCCGCGTCGCTCGGAAGCGAGAAAATAAATGTACGCGATGTCCTCAAGCTGGTACTTTTACGCAGACCGATGCGACGGGGACGAATAAAATTACTTACTGGAGTCGCGCGCAAACTCTTATTGGCGGAACATTTTTCACACTTTTTTTCCCGGTGATGTGTCCTCAGGAGCGCTTCGAATAGGTCGACGATTGCGAGCTCGCGTGATAATCGATTATGACTGGAGCGCGACTACGACGGATATTTTGCCTCTTTGTTACATTCTTCTCCCGACAGATAAGGATGCAATAAAGATAAGGATTCTTTTAATCTTCCACTAGAGAGTTGTGTGACGCGTCGAATGTCTCACGCACATGCTGGTCGTGTTTCAGTCACAGCCGACTATCGAACTTGCGAGCGGTGACTCGCTCGCAATCCACCGATCGTTCGACGCGCCTCCTAACTTGGCCGAGAAGAAAAAATCGTCGTGAAAATCGCTTCGTGAACGAGCGTACACTCGCACGCGTGTACGCGTGAGAAAACTTCGCGCAAGGAAACGACCTTTCGCAGAAGGCGTGCCGCGGGGACTGCTCGCGGAAAATTTCCGCGACCGTCGTCGGAACGGTACTTGTGCGCGCGCGCGCGCGCGAGTGTTTGTACTTACGCAAAGGGTCTGTTGCTGGCGGCGTGCCTCTCGCGTTCTGAAACAGAAAAGGTAACAGCGGCAATTAGCGATCAGTGTTCACCAATTATCGTCCGATTATTATCAACGTTCAAGGACCACGCCGGGTGGCCGAGGGGAGGAGACTCGGCCACTCGTCCATGTGTTAATCGTCTTAACGTACATGAGAGACAGCAGAGAGCGCGATTTTTCGTCGCTGTGAGACTCGGATTGCAAGCCCGCGGCTTGCACAGGATGAGAGAACGAGGGAAGCGCGGTTAACGACCTTGCGCGCCATACAAAAAGAAACTCCATCAGTAGGTTGAGACGAGGATACGTAAGTAGATACGTAGGTAGGTAGGTAGGTAGGTAGGTAGGTAGGTACGTAGGTAGGTTCATGAAGAAACGTTTCGTCGTCGTCGTCGTCGTCGTCGTCATTGTCGTTGTCGTCATCGGCGTGTAACTGGTCTCTCGACGAGATGAAACGCCATTCTGTCAGAGACGAAACGCCGCCGTCTGCCGCGCGCGGGATCGCCTTTAGAAATTCGATGACCTGCTTGGCTGCGCTGCGGCGAGAGCGACGCGGGCAGCGAGGGGGGAGCGAGAGCAGGGCCCGCGCGCGAGGAGCGGAGGAAGCAACGATGAAAGGAAAAGGTGGAAGAGCAGGGCGCGCAGGGCCGCGACCGGCGAGGCATTGCGTAAACAATGACGTACACGCGTTGCGTGTACGCGAGAGAGAGAGAGAGAGAGAGAGAGAGAGAGAGAGAGAGAGAGCGCGCGTCATGGGAAAGGGACTCGCCGTGCGAGCCCGCGAACGAAAGGGGCGGCGGGGTTAAATTCGGAACAGAGGGCTGAATGCCGGCGACAACTGCTCCCGGTGCGCGCGCGGCTGGCTTTTGGTCCTCGCCGAGGACACCCGCCGTTCCGACCGGCCTCTTTATTACCTCTTCTCGTCTTTACGTGGAGGTACGTGCCTTCACACGTGATTACGAGAAGGCGCATATGAAAACGTCGCGACAGCCGGAAATAAGTCGGGCGAAAGCGGAGAATTCGTTTCCTGCCTGCCTGCCTGCCTGCCTGTGTGTGTGTGTGTGTGTGTGTGTGCGCGCGCGCGCGCGATAAATTTACGCGCGCTCTCTTAAAAGCGGCATCGAACCGTTGCGCAAATGATTCGTCTCTCGCGTTGTGCGAAATGCGCAACACGCGACGCATACAAAGAGTGTCGTGTATTTTTCGCTTGGTCTCGATCTACGAAATCTCTTTTTACAGGTATAGGTTTTAATACTTTTTTTTTTTTTAATATAGGTGAAATGATTATTCAGATATTATTGTCTCTCACATTTCGAGAAGAGAAGGAGAATATAGGTGAAATAAATACTCGGATATTATCATCACATTTCGCGAAGGGTGCGTCGCGCGCCCCCGCCCCCGCCCCGAATAATCCATTCATAATGAAGGAATCTCCCGTCGGGAGTTGTCGCGGTTAATGTCAATAAATGATTGTATAATCACACGCTGCGCCACTTATTATTCACCGGCCGTGATGTGGCGATCGTTTCAACAATAGCTACGAAATTATCCCGCCGACCTTCCACCGCCTAATTATTAAATATTCCGCCGCGTTGCGATCTAGCGGTCTCGGGCGGCCTGCGCGCGCTCTCTTTCTCTCTCTCTGTCTCTACGGGGGGATAACTGCGATCAATCAGTGGCGCGCGCGCGCGCAGGCGGCACCGCTCTTGACGCAGGAAAGTAATTAGCGCCCAAGTATCGTCGAGGCCGTTGCGTATCTTGTCAGCGTGTCGCATATATGTCGATAATCCGGCCGGGCGAATTGCATTTGACTGGCGTCGCGACTGCACTTCAACCACTCGAATGGAAAAGTTTACGCCGTCATAATTTTCATACACACACACACACACACATGCGTACAATTGTCCGCATGTAATAACGCATGTTAAATCGCGAAATAATTCGATGGGGACCCGATATCGAAGAGTGGAGAATTACGGCAGACGGGGGGAGAGAGGGAGAGAGAGGGAGGGAGGGAGGGAGAGAGAGAGAGAGAGAGAGAGAGAGAGGCGCACACAGAGCCGAGAGATGAAACGCGCGCTCGCTGAAGAGTTTAATCCCCACGATGCGGGCGAAATATAAAATGTCCAAGCGACAGATGAAATTAATAAGTATCGACAGTCAACAGAATTGGGTCGTACGATAATTAACTGATACCATCACTTCGGAAATGCGCAGATCCGCCGCGGTGCCGCGTGAGCGGTCCGTAAATAATTCCGCGGGGCGGATTCGTGTTCGGCAACAAACGTCGCGGCAAGACCTCTGTTAAGCCGGCAGGACCAAATCGGCAGAATGAGACGGGACCTTTCAGTTACTTGGTGGTTCAGGTACTTACTTTGTGCTAATTTGTTACCGTTAATAAAAATTTTTTGTACCACGTTATAAGAGTAAAGCTCTCTCTCTCTCTTGTACCGAATAGGTTTCGGGGAGGGGAGGGGTTTTTCAGAGAAGGGATGGGGTACAAAATCTGTGAGTGAATATTTGAGAGGCACGAATTATTATGCCTCGAGTGTCGCAGGACCGATCGATTCTGTTCGTGGAAACGAATACTTTACTCTCGAGCACCTTATCATGGTAAATCGTGGTAATTCGTCGTTGTTTCAAAACGGAATGGATCTGTATATCTGCTTGTTTCGGACGGCACAAATTAGCATAAATTCTGGCCGCTGTATCTGTACCTTTTTTCTTGCCCGTGGCTCTGCTAGCTTAATATTAAGCTAGCAGCGCCGCGATTTCTTTCAAAACGGCACGTGGTACAAAATTTGTATCAATGGCACAAATCAGCGCAGAATAAGTACTAAATAACTCGGATAACTGAGCCTCCCGGTCTCATCCTGCCGATTTGGTCCTGCCAGCTTAACAAAGGTAACGCAGAGACGATCCCTGGCACATTCGTCGGGAGCTCGTCGAGTCTCTCTCGCGGGGTGACCTCCGGTGAACCGGTCCAGAAATGCCAAGAGTTTTGGGGGGCAGGGTGAGGAGAGGGAGAAGAGACCGACAGACCGATCGACGACGAGCCGACCTGTCATTAGCAGCCGTGGCTAATCGTCGAGATTCGAAATTCGCCAGACGGCGGCGTTCTCCGGCCGCCGCAACAACGTTGACATCGCGCGCGCGACGCGGCGCAACAATGCGCCGTAAATTCATCCGGCGCAGTTATCTCGGAGAAGCGACGGAGAAGCGGAGTGTCGTCGCGCCGATCGATCCGCGCGCGCGCGCGCGCGCGAATCGAACATGGCGAGTCGAGTCGCTTCGGCACGGTTCGATGCTGCGCACCTGATAACAGAAGATAGCTGACAGCGCCCTGAAGCAGCTCGAACCTGCTGAACATGACTTATCGCCGGCGTTGCCGTCGTCGTCGTCGTCCTTGTTGCCGTTGCCGTCGCTGCTCCTGTCTCATGTTCGTCGCACTTGCTGCGCGCAAAGCGCAATCATCGGCGCAGCGCGTGGCCGCCGCCGCCGCCGCGCGAAGACGCTCTCGGTCGATGTTCGCACGTGCGATTATGCGGGGCAACCTGTTTGTTTCCGAAGCGCGACGTTCGAGTTAGCTCGAGCTCGCCCGGCGGACCTCTCGCGATTGAGACGCCCCTGCGCGCGAGGCTCTCGAGCGCGATTTCCAGCTAATTGAGAGCCCTCGCGCGATATCGCACTCTCGTCATGACGCGAGGACACTCTTATTCCCTTCCCTCTGTTATCGCGGTTCTCGCGAGCGCGACGCTGCTCTCGCGGCGTTATCTCGCGCGCTGCTGATGATTATATCTCGGACTGCGCACTGCGCCGTAAAGTAGCCGCGACGTCTGGCCGCAGCACAAACGAGGCATTCACAGCGCGCTCAAGTACAAAGCTCACATTATCCGGAGCGTGGTCGAGGCCCGAGAGCGAGCGGGAATTCCGTATTCGCGGTGCGCTTCGCCGGGGACTCCAGCCGGCCGCCGGCGAGGAGCTTTCCTCGCAAGGTTGCGCGAAGCAACCGACCGCCGAAGAGAGACGAAGGCGAGAGCGCGTTCTCCCCGGCGTTCTCTCCGTCGCGAGCACGCAACGCGTATTTCCTAAACGCGCATCCGTCGCCGGACTCGACACTCCGCCGCGTCGCGTCGCGTCGCGTCGCGTCGCGAACAAGGCAGGTGGGAGAAGAGGCGCGGGCGAACGTTCGTCAAGGTCGCAAAATTGCGAGCCGCGTGATCCTCGGGGCCGAGACCTTCGGCGAGCCCGCGCGCGCGCCGCGCGGAACTCGGCTGCGCTCTGCGTTCGAGACTCGCGTCTGTCGAAAGTTGAGATTAACTCCGGCCGGAGAAAGGAGCGCGCGACATGGAGAGAAAAAAAAACGAGGGAGAACGAAAGAGACGAGGAGGGCAGGGAGGGAGGAAGGGGGAGGAAGATGAGGCAAGAAACGGGGCTCGCGAGTCGCACTCGAGAGTCGCTCTCGCGCGGCGGTTTCGCGGCGCGGAAAGTGTAGTTCGCATCGGAAGCGCAAACACGCCCCGAGCTCTTGTACGTGCGACTGACCCAGACCCGGCTAAATCCGGACGAGAAAGGCTCTTGGGGGGTCACTTATGTACACCCTGCTGAACTTTGCATGCACACACTCGCACACGAAGTTGCCTTTTCCTCGGGGCACGGCGGAAACGAGTGCGCTAGCGACACGTGTACCGAGAGAGCGCGACCGCGCTGCGGAATTGTTCGTCCTGGCTGGCTGGCTGGCGCGCCGATTAGCGTGACGGCCGCGCGATTAATCGTCGCTCCTGCTGCCGGCAGCAGATGATCGTTGCTCTCTTCGCTGATATTCGGCCCGATCGCGCGCGGCCGGCGATCGATCATGAAAAAGATCAGAGGAAGACGCAGAGAGAGAGAGAGAGAGAGTGGGAGGGAGGGAGAGAGAGAGAGAGATCGTCCGGAAAGATACGTCCTCTACGGAAGGATTTTGAATTCTCGACGTCGACCGCGACGCCGTTCGCTCGGCGAGGATACGCG